ACAATGGTACCATTGAATGTTGTACCATGATGGCAATACATCAAGTTTCTGCTATATTTTATGAATGATAACAAATCACCATTTTCAAACTTCATCAACCTTGGAGTAGTACCAAAACCTATGAAGAATGGTCTCTACAATCATTGGGCTAAACATGCAAGAAACATCAATATTAAGGTTGAGTTTGCTCCATCATTCATTAACAACTATCACCTTATGACACATAATCCATATGAAAGCTCCTTCTTTTTACATACAATGCTTATGCCAAGTATTCTTCTAATTAAAAAGAAGATTGAAAGGAATTTGGTCCTTCCATTTTATATTATAGGTCAACATGTAACTTTGAATTACCTAGTTATTTTCTCTTCATTTTAGTCGTAATTTTCAAAATTGAAATGTCTCCTAGCCAATTAAATCTATTTGAGTTAAGATTGAATCCAATTATTAGGCCAAAATAGAAGCGGATCTTATATTATTTTATTCCTTTGATTTGTTTAATGACTTATAGCTTTTGAATAAAATTTAAGTTAACATTTCTTACATTGCTCATATAGAAATTAACTATTGTTTTTAACTATAACTGAGAATCAAGAATTAAAAAGAATATCAATATGACTAAATTAATATAAAGTATTTTCTTTGGTAGTACTTCCAATGAAATTTGAATTTCTTGCTCACATATAAACTGATTTTCTTTAAATGCATGATAGACTATTGCAAGAATATGATCAAATCCTGAGAGGAAGAGGCCAATCTATTCATCCTTTGTAGGTGGTTAAGGCCCACTAGATAGAAAATTACTATATGTGCTTGTGATTGTGTTGCACATCAACTGCCAATTCTATTCTTCTTTATTTATTATTTAAAAATCAATTTTAGTTTTTGATCATAGTAACAAATTTTGATTGGTAGTTGACCAATAATTTGCAATTGTCTTCATATTCTTTTTGCAAAGTTCTGCCACTCTTTTCTTTGAAAACAGTGAAAAAATGCTTAAGGCAAGTTTTTGAATGTGTCATAATTCAATATTCATAGTTGTTTCAAATGAATTCGCTTGTTTCTACTCAATATGAGGAAATACCTACTTCCAAGCATGGTTCATTTTGTTCCATATTTTTAGAGCCATGTGCACTTTTATACTAAGTTATCATGTATTATCTTTGATCTGGTGGTTATTGACCATCTTTCTCAAGTTAAAAACATCATGATCTATATTTGATAAAGTTCTAAAGATTTGAATTACTAAGCATGAAGGCCTAAATAATCCATTTATTGAATAAAGTTGTTGTGATGGCATTTGGATTTCTTAGACTTAATCTACCTATTCATTTTTTTCTAGTGCATATTTGCCATGCTACACAAGTACAAGTCTCATGTTTGTATCCTCCCTATAGATAATTCTTTAAAAGACTCTTAATTTGTTTCATAGCTTTCTTAAAACATGTTCAAATACTTGTGAAATACCAAAGTGTTAACATTAATACTTAATTGACTATGAGACATCTATTAGCCAAAGATAATTTTATTGTGCTCTAGTACTTAAGTTTTTGCTTTACTTGGTTAATGAAGAATTCATCAATATTTGGAATTGAGATTCCCACACCAAAAGAAGTGCCTAGAAGTTTACCCATGTTGTCATTTTCTACCCATTTCTAGTCATATATGTTTGTTTGTATAGGTAGAGGATCTTTTTTTCCTATCCAGTATGTACCTAATTTAGACCAATTGATCATGGGGCCAAATGCTCTATTAATTGTATCTAGAATTTTAACTAAGTGTGCTACTGAGTTTTATTTTTCTATTCCTACTATAAATGAGGTGTCATCCACATATTGTAAGTTGAATTGTTGATTTTTTAAGCATGATAGACACATTCCTTTAAGTAATCCTTGCTGTTGAGTTAGGTGTATTCTTGCATTCAGGGCCTCTCCTGTTATCAAGAAAAGATATGGGACTATTGGTCATCCTTGACATACTCCATGATTAATTGGGAAGGGTGTAGTTGCTTTGCTATTAACATTAACCATTGCTTTAGCGAGTGCATGTAAGTGTGATCTTTATTATATTTAATTTTTTTTGACAAAAAGCCCATTCTAGTCATAATTGCAAATAAGAACTGCCAATAGACTCTATCATATGCTTTAGAGAAGTCTAATTTCAATAAAATTGAATTTTGTTTGGTTTTATTAGCCCATGCCAACATCTCATAGATAAGTAGTATATTATCTGATATATATATATATATATATATATATATATATGTCTATTATGTATGAAGGTACTTTGATCAAAACTGATAACTTCACCTAGAATATCTTAAAGTCGTGTTTGTTGGATTTGTTTGAAGAGAACCAATCCTATAACCAGAGAAAGGCAGTAGCATTGACTCTTTCACTGGAGACATGCATCCTATGAAAACGAAGCTTTTAAGTGAGTTTAATGGCATTGACCTTTTCAGCCCCACACAGGTACCCATGAACACACACTTTGGGGCCTCTCTGCGTTTGAAGACCCCCTTCCTCCCCAAGCTCAAGGTTCAATGAAGAACCTGCAATTCTTCGCATGTGGGGACTGGGAGGATCTGACAAGTCCCCCGTGCCTTTGTCCCTCAGTAAAGACATTCCGTCCTCGGATCACGGGATGAATCACATCCACATTTATGGATGAATCCCTCATTCACCCATATGTCATTTGGATGTGAAGTTAGCCCTCGAAAAGAAACCGCAATCTCCTGCAACGAAGGCCTAGCTGGGCGACACACGCTAAAATGGCATAAGCCCCACATATTTGAAAAAATGCAAGAAGAAATTAGAATATATTTGCTGAATGTTAATACATGTTACTTCACATGTATCCCACCTTAGGTTTTAGTGTTACAGATACGCACAAGCAAGGTCTAGCACCACCCTCCATGCTCAAAGGAAGGTGACAACAAGATTTGGGATGCTTTTAAGAAGTATGGAACAAAAAGGATCGGACAGAGAGCAGTGAATAGTAGCAAAAGGCAAGGAAGGAGCAGGTACAAATCTGAGTGAGAAGCGGGACTCAGACTGCGAGAATCAATTGAAGTGGAATGGGGCCAGGAGGGCATGCCAATTAGGTGAAATGAAATGGAAGAAGACAACACCAGGGCAGGGGCAGGGGCAGGGCAGGCAGCTAGATAGATAGATTGATAGATAGCTAGGTTAGCTAGCTAGCTAGCAAGGGAGCGAGGGGGTAGTGCAGTGCAGTGCAGAGGAGGAGAGGAGAGAGGAAGAGAAGGCAAAGCAAGCAAGCCTGGTCAGCTGCTTCAGTGCTGTGCTGTGGCAGGCAGGCAGGGGGAGGGGAAGTCATAGTGAAGAGACGGGATGTCCTCATGGCTAGGCTCAGCTGAGCTACACTACTATTACTACTCTACCACTCTATTCTACTGTAACTAAAGGGACAGCTAGGAGCCAGTGGTAGGGCAGCAAGGCGTACGCCTGACAGGAAAGAGAAAAAAGGAGAAAAAAAAACAAGAAAAAAAATGCGGAGGAGGAGCAAAAAGGAATGGAGCGAGCAAGGTGGGGACCTGGTTGGCAGGAGGGAGAAAAAGGAGAAGGAAGGGAAGGGGGGGTGGGTCGAGAAGGGAAACAGGGAAACTGGGCAAGGGGAAGAAGGGGGTAAGTTGCGAGGATGGTGCTGCTGGAGCTGGAACGAAGAGAGAGCGAGAGAAAGAGAGATTTTGAGAGTAGAGTAGTAGAGTGGAGGAGAGTAGTGGTGTGTGTCGTGCTCGGTGGCACCCATTGCTGGTCGCTCCATCACCGAGTCACTCGCTCGCCCGCTCTCCTCTAGCACCATTCATTATACGAAGTTACACTCTCGCTGTGAGGACAGACAGACAGACACACAGAGAGAGAGACAAGTACAATACTCTACGGTACACGACGACACAATCCCTCCCTCTCCCTCTCGCCCCCTTTCCTTTCCTCTACTCTACTCTCCTCCCTCCCTCCCTCTTTCCTACTACTACCACTGCTGCCTCTGCTGCTGCACCCAGCCAGCCAGCCAGCACTAGTGTGTTGGGCCCCCATCCCCCGTTGGTGCCGTTCAGCCCGTGGGCACCCTTGGGCATCATCGTCAGCAGCAGCAACAACAACATCAACAACTACGGTAGTAGCAAAATAACTCGTCGTCGTCGTCGTCTGCGCTCGGCTGCCAGCCCATCTGCCGCTCCTCTACTGTCCTCACTCTCCTCTATACTATTCCGCTCCTCCGCCACCTTCCCTCCCTCCCTCATCACGTCAGGTCGGGTCGGGTCAGGCAGGTCCTGCTCTTGCGCATCCTTTTGTCGTCATCGTTGAAAGCCTGTTTTTGGAGCCTTCTTTTCCTTCGAGCGCTTCCCCCTTCTTCCTCTCTTCCATCCTTCCTGGTGTAATCTAATGACTATAGGGCCTCCATTTTGCTAGATTCCTTTTCCTCCCTTCTCTTGTTACTGTTTGTTTTCCTCCTCCTCCTCCACACCCCCCTTGTTCGCTGGGAGGGGGTGTCTTGAGAATGAGGTACAGTGTGCTGTCCGCAGGGGCTGGCTTGCATACGGCGCAGGCACAGGCATGGACGAAGAGGGCGGAGGAGATGAATCTTCGTTCGGCAGAGACCGCGGTCCTGTCCTCTGGCTTGTTTCTTTAGGGGCGGACGAAGAGGTAGGAGTAGCATCATCGTTCTGCAGCGGCAGCCTGGACGGCGTCTGCAGGCGGTGGGGTAGGAAAATACTTGTAGAAGCGCTGGCGATGATGCAATTTGTGCCTATCGTGGTAGCCAGGGCTCATAGGAAGGTATTGATCGGAAACCAGAAGACGAGTTGGTAAGGAATCACCGGGAGTGGCGGAATTGTCAAAGTTTTTTGCAACGGCGCTCTCGTGTTCAGAAGGATCGCTAGTGTGGGTTGCAGACAGGGTTGAGCATGGTGCGCGAAAAGAGCACGCCCTCGGCAGCTCAGGTTTGGTGTCGTCAGCTGCTGTCAACGGCAGCTTCGTTGCATCTCCCTTAGACTCCCTTCTTCCTACTCACTCTCTCCCTTGCTTTTCTGGGACGTCAGACGCTTCCTGCGCTCTCGTTGAGCTCTTCCCCGCTGCAGTGAAGAAGCAACAAGAAGAAGAGGAAATGACATTGTCAAATTTAACCAGCGCATCAGCTGGCGAGGTGAGTGTGTCATCAGGCAACCGCATGGATGGCACCAATACTGGGATGCCCCCAACGTCATCCACCCCGCCCACACCTACTACCACCACCGTCACGGTCTCGAGTGGGCAGCCTCTCACTGTTGCGGTTAAACGCAAGCGGAATCTGCCGGGTACCCCAGGTGCGATTTTTCTTCTCACTTCTTCCTGGGGTGTTGCAATCTTCCAACCTCCCGTATTCGCTTAGCTCAATGCAGGAAATGGAATTAAGAATTGGGTCCGTCTCCTGCATGTGCTGTAGCACATATTGAGACACCTGTGAGGGTGCAAGCCTTTTCTCTCACGACATTTAAATTGACAAGCGATGACTCTCTAGTCTGAAGCATCCAACTGCACTGCAGTTGATATCATCACTCTCCGTTTCTATCTGGCATATGTACTGACACCTCTGAATGTGCTGAGATGTTCATGTGATCGCTAGTCGATCGAGTGTTACATGTGATGCTCTACATCCATGGGCCATTGGTCACATGCGCATTGTTGTCCCTTGTCGCAAGTTCGAACTGTTATCATTCACTTGGAAATGACGTCCTTTACAAGGTCAAGGTAGTGCAGCACATGCAGAGCTGGTATTCCATGTCACTCCGGTTCGTAACTAGTTAGTTTCACCCTTCACATTTCAGTCTTCTCTTTTCTACACAACGGGTGAAGTGTCCTTCGTGATTAGTCTGCGAATGTCTCTAGCTCGAACGTGTTTTTAAGATCGTGAAGGTGAATTAATTTTTTTTCCATTGGTATTGGATTGAATACGCAGACCCGGAAGCGGAGGTGATAGCTTTGTCACCAAAGACATTGATGGCCACGAATCGATTCGTGTGCGAAATTTGTAACAAGGGGTTTCAGCGAGATCAAAACTTGCAGTTACACCGACGCGGCCACAACTTGCCGTGGAAGCTGCGGCAACGGACCAGCAAGGAGATTCGCAAGCGCGTCTACATCTGCCCCGAGCCCTCTTGTGTGCATCACGACCCGTCGCGTGCTCTGGGCGACTTGACTGGTATTAAAAAACACTTTTGCCGAAAGCACGGTGAGAAGAAGTGGAAGTGTGACAAGTGCTCTAAGAGATACGCTGTTCAATCCGACTGGAAGGCCCACTCTAAGACTTGTGGTACTCGAGAGTACCGCTGCGATTGTGGTACCTTATTTTCCAGGTCAGTTTCTCCTCCTTGGTTCTTTTCCCTAGATGGGTGTTTCTTCCACTGACACGATGAGCAGCCAATTCATAGGGTGCTTGTGTCAACTCCGGGAAGCTCCCTGGTGTCATCTGTTTTTGCGATACTAGCTGTATTCGTTCAGGGTGGATGTAGGTCGTTGCACTGTAATTCTAGTGATGATCTGCATCTCGTCCGTAAATTCAATCTTGGTGAATACACTTGGTGGCTGACGTTAGGGGTCCATGACAATGCTGCAGGCGTGACAGTTTTATTACCCACCGAGCGTTCTGTGATGCTCTGGCAGAAGAGAGTGCCCGAGTGTCAGCAGGAAAGCAAGGTGGTGGACAACCTGATGGCCTCATGGGTGCAGGTTCGTCATCCATATCAGTCATGGGTGCTCCTTCCTCTCCTCACGGTAATAACGTGGGTCGTATGAGTGGAGATCCATTGGCCTCTGTGGTTCCATTAGCATCCAGACCTGGTGGTGGTATGCCGCAGTCTATGGTGGGTTTGGGTGGTCTTAGTGAGGGGGGCCATTCCCTCTTGCCTCGTTGGAGTGGAAACCCCGGTTCTAGTCCTGTCTCAAGGACTGGCACTGGATTGTCGCTCTGGTTAGGACCTGGGCCAGGTCCTCCTGGAAATCAGCACCAAATGCATCAACTATTGTCAGGATCGGATGGGAATTCGTCGTTCCTGATGCAGCCTCACAAAGGGATGCAGGGTGGTCCAGGTCTACCTGGAATGATGAACCCACTCGATTACGATGTGCCTCAGGCACCTCGACCTTCAAGTGGTCATCTTCCATTGACACCCCGAGGAAGCCTGTTTGCTCATTTATTTGCATCGGGAAATGGGATGCATGGACTTCAAGGATCAAGTCCATCGCAAAGTGGATCCACTGCTGGCATTGGTATTTCAGGGTTCTCAGACTTAACAGCAGGAGCCAATCGTATGGAGAGAGGGTCTCCAACTTCCTCCGCTGGGTTGACGAGTAACTCATCTTCAGGGAATACCAATGGTGCCGGGAACCTGTCCTCCGTTTCACCACTCTTTAATGCTCATCACCAGCAACAACAACACACTGCCTCTGCGCAGATGTCTGCAACAGCTTTGCTGCAGAAAGCTGCTCAAATGGGCGCAACTGCCAGCAACACCTCCCTATTGCGAGGATTTGGGTTAGGAGGGACAGACTCAAGCTCTATGGGCATCTGGCAGGGCCAACGTCAAGAGCAGCAGTCGCAACAGCAGTCCCAGCAGCAACAACATCAATCCCAGCAACAGCATCAGTCCCAGCAACAGCAGCAATCTCAGTCACAACCTCAATTACAACATCAGCAACAGCAGCAGCAACAATCACAGTCACAACCTCAGTTACAGCAGCAACCACAACAACAGCAGCAGCAGCAGCAATCTCAGACACAACCTCAGTTGCAGCAACAGCAGCAAGGGAGGGCAGGTGATCTTCCACTTAATAGCATGTGTAACATGGTCAACCATCCGTTAATGAGGCGGCCAGGTGACCTGCAGAGTGTTTCACAAGGGCTGGGTGGGACGTCGCCAGGGCAGAGCAACAATTTTGGAGGAGGTCAAGGGAGACTGTCCGACAGTTCCGCCAATGTGCAAGACTTCATGAATTCTCTGTCTGGAGGTGCTGGAATATTCGGAGGACCATTAGGTAACATGCCCTCTATGTTCGGACCTAGTTCGAACAACATGGGAGGAATGCTGCCGCCCAGTACTCATAGGATGTCTCCGAGTGAAGTCCTTGCCAACAGTGCTTTCGCTGGAGGACAAGGAGTGTTGCAAGGCTTGAGCCCTTCCTCTCTGTTGCCAGGTCTTGGAGGTTCCTCCAGAGGGGAGAACGATGGTAGTGACAGATTTACTCGTGACTTCCTGGGGGTAGGAAGAGCTTCAGGAATGACAGCTGCTGGCGGAGGGATGGGTCGCACACTCTCGCAACGAGACTTGGCTAGTATCACATCGCTGGGTCCCGGGGTAGACCTAGGCGCTTTCTTCAACCAAAGAGAGAACCTGCGATCTGTTAATGCAAGCGGCCACTCTCCTGGGAAGTCATGGGACGCCGCTACCTAGTTTTTTTCTTTATTTTCCTTCGATGGTAGTGTGGAGCCCTTTCCTGTCTAGGGTCAATCGGATTACCTAGGAGGCAGATGCAATTTTGATTACACTTAGTCTTTCCTTTGTAATACATGGCCGGCAGGCAGTGCCCCTTTGTACATCGTGTCCCAATCCCCCTTCCTGCCCTCTCTGAAGGATGTTGCGCATGCCATGATCACTGAGAAAAGCTCTTCAATTCAGCTGATGGTGCGTTTGAGTTGTAACATAGCCCATTCAGCGCTGCGAGCCTTTTTTGGCCATTCTGTTGGGCCAGCTTTGCGGTGCCACTAGTTGTTTGTTTCATAGCTGGTTTCTACCACCTTGTAACAATTCTTTGTCAACAAAATTATATGCTTCTCATTTCCTTGCACCCGTTTTCTCTGTACGCAATGTTAAACTCTTGCTCCACAATCGGCATCTGAATTTGTATGCTAAAACTCCCTCAAAAACTTTCAAAACACTTGTAGTTACACCGAACGCTTGGTCATCCTAGGTTTTTTCTCTCCTTCATGTCTAGTTTCGGTTTGCGTGATTTGCAGGTGTGTGGTGGGGTTATGACATGCCCTACTACCCGCTGGCGGAATCTTGTGAGGCTACAGGGCTAGGCTGGTGTGTGTATGTGTGTGTGTGTGTTTTTTTTAATCCCCTTTAACTGATGGGATGAGAGCTGTCTGGATGCGACCTCTCTCCTTATCCTTGGCACTCCCTGTCCTGTAGCAGGACGCCAGGGCCCTTATATGCCTGGTATTCAAGATTGTCATCTCACACATTATTGCTGCCAGTACTTACCTGCTCTGCTCTCTGCCCTGCTTGCTCTCTCTCTTTCTCCATGCCTGGAAATCAACTCATTGTCCTTGGCCTTGTACCCTAAGGGGAGCCCCATTACTGCGACCAGTAAGTGGCAAGCCATGCAAAGTGTTGCTGTCCAGGATGGAGACCCCAGGACAAAATGCTTGGCACTCTCACATGATAGAAGTACAGCTCCCCCCCCCATCTCAAACCCTCTTTCACAATTATGCAGCATCAGCAGGAACCAGGGCATTTTCATCACTGTACTTGCAGTGATGGATTTCCTTATTGGATGTTTTAAGCATGCTTTAATCTCATCTCTTCAGACTTGAGCAAAAGCAACAACAATGGCTAGCTAGCTTCTCACATGCAACCAATTAACAGGCAACCAAAACCCTCTTCATTCATATTTCAATTTTACCAATCTATGTTCCCAAGCTACCCAATTAAAAACTCTTGATTCCTGGTGTCACATAGTTCCATAGATAGGTTGACTTAGTGCATACACTGCCACTAAAACCCTAATGGGAACTCACTTTCCCTCCCTTGAGTGTAGAGAATGATGAGACAAAAACACATCAACTTCATGGAGCCTGGGATTTCATTCCCTGGTGCCACAATATTCTCTTGTCAACTCCAATGGTAGGCTTCACATCAGATGGTGCCACCCCCCCTCCACCCCACTCCCCCATTATGACAACTTCCATCCAATGTCCTTCCTCTATTGCTTGCTTCCATGGTCCCAGTACCCCCCCCCCCCCTCTTCTGCTTGGCAAACAGAGAAACAAGCCTGTCAAGCATAAGCTATCAGAAACAGCAGCAACATAATGCAACAGAGCCAGCCCCCACCCACCTGAAACATTCCCTTCAAGACCCACCTCCCCAAATTCCACTACCACACTTGGTTGTCTTCAAACTCATGATTCCCCTCTACACATGACAAAACAGGGTGTGTGTGTGTGTGTGTGTTTGTGTGTGAGTGTGTTCATACTGACATCTTCTGTGGGAGGGATTGGAGACAGTGTTATGAGGAGGTGGCATTGAAGTCTTTTTTTATTTACCTATGAAATAGAAAAGGAAATTAACCTGGATTCTCTTGCCTTTGCTTCATTCAAAAAGAAAGATACCTGCCTGCAAGTGGACAAAGAGAAGCCCTAGTATTGGGCTGCTCACATTGTATGTGAGCATGGAATGATTCCCCTTATTGTTCCATTCTCTGTGTTTGGCTGCTTATGGTCCATGTGTTTAAGTGTGTTCTAAGGCTGCCAGAGGATTTTGTTGGGTGACCAAGTGTCATGGATTCAGCCTTACATTCCAATACTTCACCAACCTTATGCCTTTTCTACAGGTTTTACTTTTTATTTACTTTCCAGGTTGGAAGATCTAGAACACAATTTGGTCACTCACTCACTTGGCTTTTGAGTCCATCCTTTCTTTCATCCTTTCATTTTTCTATTATTACATTGAAGAGTTCGTAAGAAATTGGGTGGGGGGATATTTTTATATATATATATATAGAGAGAGAGAGAGAGATTTTGTAAAAGAAGTCAGGGCTTCTAGCATAAGGCCACAATGAGGTCAAGAGGGGGTTTGAGTTGCCAATAATCCACAACTGACATAGAGCTCTTGATGGTCCACATTATCTGAGATCCACACACACACACACTCTACAATAAATTTATTATTGGGGCAGGTGATACATCAGATCTAAGGGGAGGATTGTAGATACCATCAGGATTCTGGGGATTATTCTGTGTGTTGAGGGTTTGAATGCACTTAAGCTGGGAGAGACCTTGACTTGCATTTCATGGCAAAAGAAGAAACACCCCAATAAAGCAATAATCATACACCTTATTATTATTATTTTTATTATTGTTGTTCTTATTATTCTTATAATTTTTATTGTAATAATAATAATAATTTGTTGTGGTAGTAGTACCTGTTTTCTGTGTCCAACTCTATAGTCCCATCCCAACATCCAAGGTCCCATCTCAGGTGCTGCTGGATGATGATGATGATGATGATGAGCCATGCAGGAGGAGGATCATCCTCAGATTATCATTCGTCAGCATGTCTCATCCATTTCTTAAAATAGGCATTGTTGAGTTGGGTGTGGAGGTAACATGAGGTTTGTGAGGAATATATTCTATATACTGTATATATATATATATATATATATATTTTTTTTTCCATTTTCCTATGTTTGTTTTTTCACAAATGGGGAAGGGGTGGTGCATGACAGTATCCAGCTTCTTCCTTTTTCCCAACCCCATTCAAACTTATTCACACAAACAAACACATACACACACAATGTGGCCTTTTGCCCTCTTTTTCATTTGTTTTTATATATTGTTATGATATTTTTTCTTTTTTCTTTTTATTTTCTTTTTGTATGACCATCCATGTAAGTTTCATTTGGGTTTGAGTTTGGTCCTCCACAACTAGCATTAGAGGTCACACACCTTTTCATGGTACACAAGTGGACTGTTGTTAATGAGGGTTTTTCTTCCTGGAAGTTTGAAGGGTTCCTTGGTTAGTGGGAAGAGGAGAACCTCTTGGGATTATTACCTCTCAAACAAAACAAAAATAAAATAAAATTGGAGACAAATGAGGGAGATTATATAAATGTTTGACAGGATATGCTCTGTGGGAACATCACTTGTAGGGTACATTTGTCCATTTAACTGTTCTTGATGTTCCTACTTTGTATTGGTAACCCAAAATGATAAAAGTAAAATTATTCCTACATATGAATAACTTGAAATTTTCCCAATATTTGAGTAGTTTGAAGAGTAGGATACTAACTATAACAAGGTTCAGAAATTTTGATTTCAAATGCAATAGAGACAAATTGCTTCATGTTTCTTTTATGCTTCCTTATTTTTGTTGTTCTTTGGACTTAAGTCCAAATTGATGCAATTCAACTACAAGTTAAGAAAATTTTGTAATTGCACAAAAGGATATTAAGGTCTGCAAATTCCACATTCAAATCTGTGCTCATTGTTTCCAAATTAAAGTTTAATATTTGTGTATGCATTTTTGAACATGTAATCTATCATGAATCCAGTTTTTATTTTATTATATTTTATTTTCCCTCAGAAGTGAATCACATCTTGTTTCCTACTCACATCAGTATGGTGCATGAGTAATATTTCATGAAGCAAATAAATTAGAATGCTATTTTCATAGTTTTATAGAATCTCAAATTTCATCCCAACATGAAAAAATTATCATTTTTCTAAATACTATGGTTCTGGTCCAATTTGTATGTCACAGACTAAATGTAGATTTATTAATAAGGACAGAGTAGTTAACATTTAAGAGAAATCTACACATTTTTTTTAATGATTTTATGATGTAAATTGTATAACTAAAGATTTATTATTTACAGGTACTCAAATACGTTGGATGATTCTATTATATGTGGGATATAAAATATCTTTGAGGGGGCTTTGAATATTCCTTGATATGTAGCATAAATTAGGCACAAATGGGATAAAACCCTAATGGTGATTATATTGGTATCTTCAAGTCTTTGATAAATTTTTACAATTAGTTACAAACTTATTTTTGTGTGTAACCATAACATAAAAAGAAAAAAGAAAAAAGAAAATCATAAAAGAACAAAAGAAATGCACAAGTTTAAAAAGTTCTTAGATTGAAAATTGAAGAACCGTCCTTCAGAAATCTAGGTTTTAAAAAATGAAATATCAGAACATTATGAAACAATAGGAATTACAATAGGGACTCAACTATTACCTGATTAAATTTTAAAGTTTTATGTTTGCATTATAATTTTGTTGTACATATGAGGAACTTTTTGTACACATATATGTATGTATAATTTTTTCTCGAGAGTTCATTAATGCTGTATATAATATCAAGAATAATTTGATAGCTTCTTGAAATATTGTGATTTTTCACATTGATAACATGTTCTATTTTATTTTAAATAAAGTTTCATATATTACTATATATATAGTAATACGATCTATTAATGAAAAACATAAGTTTTATGGTCTTGTATATATCTCTAAAACTTTGAATTTTACATATGAAGTTATATTGTAATTGATAAAGATAGCAAAAGTATTATTTTTATTTATGTAAATTATGTAAAAGTATAAAAAATGGAAATGATATGTATATATATATATATATATATATATACATATTGTAGAATCTATTAAAATTAAAATTAAAATTAAAGCCTTAAAATAAGATGACAACCATACATTTTATAGACAATACACCATCTATTAGGACAAGAATTAAATTTAATAGAACAATTCTTTCTACTTGAAAAATTCCCATTGCAATTATTGAATTAAAAAGAGAGTTCACATTAGGTAAGAAGTATATGATTTTTCGCTATATAATTCCTTCATATAACCTATTGATAATTGACCTTGCAAGTCATCAATTAGTTCTTGAAATTAAAAAAAGTAGAAATAAAAGCTATTTCATAAGGCAAACCAATCACACAAAGGAATGGTATTTTTCAATCATACTAAAAATAGTTATGATAAATAAGAACTGAATTTTTTGATTTTAGGAAGTCTTAAAAGCAGAATTAAAAAG